CCTGCTGATCCAGCAGCCGCGCCGCGGGCGCCCCGTGCTCCAGGATCCTCTTGACGGGCGGCGCGGCACGCCCGGCGAGACCATCCACGTCGACCCCCTGTGCGCAGGGCGCGTGTGGAGCGGGCGACCCCCTTCTTGATCGAGGTAGGCACTGACGTTGCCTCTAGAGCTCGCCTTAGCGCGGCCTGGTGCTCTGAGATCGCCCCCTGCTGCCCCCCCCCCCCACACTCAGAAACGCGCATGCTCTAGTGCCACCTTTGAGCCGGGCCCTCGCGGACGGGGAATGGCCGGTCTCGTCGCAGCCCTTGGCTCGCAGCCAGCCTCGCACTAGCCCGCGGCGCATCCGCGGTAATCTGCCCGCGCACGCGATGCACCATTCCGACCGCCGACAACCACCCCGTTGGGGTGGCCCTCGCGCAGACGTAAATCACCTCGTACTCCGTAGGGCTGGTGCACTTCCGCCGCGGCTCCGAGAACGCAAACCAGTGCCACCGCTGAGGACGCGCGGGTGGAAGCACCCAAAGATGGCACCCCCCGAGAGTGGCAGCGCACTCACCTGGCAGCGGAAGCTCGTCGGTGCCCCCCACGACGAGGGTCTGCCCCGCATTCTTCGGCATGAGGTTAGCGACCAGACGCCGCTGATCGTGGGGCCCCTCTGGCGCCCCCCCGCTCTTGGCCACGCCAAGAGCTCCGCTGCCGAACCGCTTCCCATGAATCACGAGGACGCGGGTCTTCTCGACCTCCGCAAGGATCCCGCGGCCCACCGGCTGCCCAGTGATGCAGCCCACTCGCCGTCATCGCAGCACGCCGTGACAGGCCCCACCTCTGGGCGCTCATCGAGCGGCAATTGAACAGCTCCTCGTGCTCGAGGGCATGGCACGCAGCGTCACTGCAGACATTGACCGCCTCCAGGATGCCACGGCGCACCGCGAGGGGAGGCCCTGGTTCGATCTGAACCCGCGTCAACTTCTCGGGCCTGGCAACGATTCCATCGCCGTGCCCGAACACGGGGGGCCTGGCCAACTCCCTCCAGGGGATGCGTTGCATCTCCGCTTCGATCCACTTGCGAAAACAAATGTCAACGGCCGCCTCCCCCACGCGCTGCGCCGCCTCCTGCCGGGCCGCCTAGTATCTCGGAGAGTCTGACAGGCGCCTGTCGGCGATGTAGCCACAGCCCCCGCGCAGGCAGTTCGCGAGCAGCACTTGCATGCGCGCCCAGGACCCGATTCCAACCTTCCAGCGGGAGGCGCGTCTATCTTCGCCACAAAATAATATCGCGCACCTGGAATCGCTCAGGTGCTGGAACAGGGCTTCGACGTCCTCGCCCGCGCCAGGCAAAGGAAGTGGCGCGACACCCCGCCCCCCCGAAACATTCTCGACCGCGTGGCGCGCGGCGTCGAGCGCCCGCCCGGCGCGCCCGCCCATCCGCGCGCCCGCGCGCGGCGACAGCCGCAGCACCTGGAAGCGCAGGGCCTCGCCCTGCATCCGCTTGTCAGCCTCGAATGCAACCTCCATGACGAAAAGGGATGTTTCGCGCATCGCCTGCCTCAGGTCTTCTGCGCATTGGCGCTCGGCGTGCCCGATCTGGCGCCTGGCGCCGCGCCTGCTGCGGCCTGAGTCCGACTCCTCGGCGCGAGCAGCGCCATCGTGGGCCGGGCCCGAGGCGGCGGGGGCGGCGCAAAAGATGGCGCCGCCGATCTGGACCCGCCCTTTCCCGTCGGGACTGCCTGGTGCGACTCCTGCGCCTTCGGCTTCGCCGTGGCTTTCGACTTTGGCGTCGCTCTCGGCCCCTGGCGCCCCCCCCCCTGCCCTCGCCCGCGCGCTCCTCGGAGGAAGTTGAGGGGGGCCGCTTTCCCAACGGGCTCGGAACTCGCTCGGGCCGGCGGACTGCTCCCTGAGGCCCTCGTCGCTGACAACGTCGCCGCGCCCGTCTGACGAGCCACCTCGGGCTGGGCCCCCCCCTGCCCGAAGCCCCCGACCCCCTTGATAGACCTTCTCGCTTTTCCTTGCCTTCTCCTCGGTCTCCGCGAGCTTGGCCCACCAGAGCTCCAGCTGTCCGGCGAGCATCTCATCCGACGGGGCTGCGATGCCGATCGACCGCGTAGGCGCCAGCTCGCACTGCGCCGCCAGCGCCCGGCTGCCACCCTTGGCCTCGACCTCGCAGCTCTTGAACCGCCGCGCGCACAGGTCCACGACCTGCGGGAGGTCGCCGAGGAGCTCGGCGTCGAGCGCCTCGGCGAGGGCCCATCTCCTGCCCCAGCCCCCCCAGCTCGCCACGAACCGGGCTTCCTGCGGGATCCGCCCCGCTGCCACGGCCCCCCCCCCCCGGGTGCTCAGATAGCGCTAGATCTCACCGATCGCCAACTGCATGAGCTGCCCCGGATGCCTGCGCGCGAAGGACACCAGACCCTTGCCCGCCCGAGGGGGAGCCAGGCGAAAGCCTGACCCCTCGCTGTCTTTCTCATCACTGCCACGCTCCCCGCCACCGGCGGTCGCCAGC